TTGGGAGCCCTTGGGCGGTCTTGGGGCGGTTTTGCGGGCCTCTTGGGCCGTCGTCAACGCCGTGAAAAGCGACAAGCCGTATGTGCTAAAAATATGCGTTTTCCTTTGGACAATCGATGATGTTGGCCACTTGGGGCCCTCTAGGGGCGCCCCTTGGGCGCCTCTTGGGAGCCTCTGAGGGGCCTCTTGGGCCGTCCTCGGCGGTCTTGGGTTTTTTTTCCGGAAACATACAAAAACCCAAAGGAAAACCCCCAAAACGGCCATTAGAACTCATCCACTCGCGCTACGCCCCCCCCTGGAACCCCCCCTTAAAGGGCTTCGCCCAACACGCAACGTCATCGGTCGTACCCCTCTTTCCGTTACTAGTCGGGCATGGGGCACTGGGCGGGCAACGGGGCCGGTTGCGCCCGATGCCCGCGATCCCGTTCTTCCTCTCGTGGACATGCGGAGGGCAGGTCTGCCGAAGAAGCCCGGGCCCGGTGAAACGCCGAATGCCACCGCGCACATCGACGTCGACGGCCCCGACATCGGCAGGACAACTCCCCTCGCAGTCTACAGGTAGCGAGCTGCCCCTCCCGTCGGTGGCGAAGGGGCCCGCGGAACACTTTACCGCGTCGAAATCCTCGACCGAAAATCCTGCAATACGCGGCGCTCTGGCTGATACCTGTTTGCATGAAACCCCTTCTCTGAAACCCCGACATCAGCGCCATGCACCCTGACCGGGCCGCGCACGTGTCCGCGTCGAAGATCTCGCTCGTGCGAATCTTGCCGCCCGACAACTTGACCTTGAGGGCGCGCCCGACGTCGCGGGGGGCGCCGATTTCTCTCGCGCGCCACCGACACGAGCGCACTGACCTCAAAGGTGGATTCACCAAGCGCCCCCGTGAACTTCATCTCCATCAACCTCGTCGTCGCAATCTGCGCGTTCACGTTGTCTTGCGCGCCCGCGCAAGCGTCCCAATGGTGAAACCGCGCTGCCACTGCCGCCCGACGATCGCCGTGTTCACGGAGACTCTACAAGTCGCTCGCGATCGGGGCCGCCTCCAGCGCCGCCGCGACGACGCGGTGGAAGTACTCGCCGCTCCGCAACCCGTAGCACGTGCTCTGGCACTCGCTGGACAGCCAAGCGCTCCACTCCAACTCAGAACAACTTGTGGGCACCAATGATGGGGGTCCACAGCAATGTTTTTTCGGATGTTCAAATATGACCGCAATCCGTCCCGCGGAACCCCCAAACTGTTGGCGCACGCACACACAGACACACACACGCACACGCACACACATACAGGGTAGTGCAAGACCGCTTGGCACCTCCACTCTGATTAGGCGCGGGATGTTTCCATTTAAAATTTCGGGTCCCACGAACCCCACGACTACCCAATGGGCCCCCGAGGCAGCGAAAGATACACACAGATTTGGTCCAATACTGCCCCTGGACGCCTCTGAGACGACCCCCGCCCGCCCTCGAGACGACCCCCAGACCTCCCGGAGCGGTCCCGACGCCTGGCAGAAAGATGCCGAACACGGCCGCAGGAGGCCCTGGGAGGGCCCCCCCAAAAAAGGCACCGAGCCGAACGCAAAAGCATTCGGACACACGTGCGTGCCGAGAGCGGACTCGGGCGTTCATGAAGCGTAAACTTGTTCCTGGCACAGGAGAATCATGCGGAGCAGGCCCGCAGTCGCTCGCCTCACCCCCTCTCCTCCGCTCACGCGCCTCGGCGCCTGCTTCGCGGGCGTGCGGTCCTCGGCGCGCCGGCCCGCTTGTTTCCGGAGCCCGAAGAGGGGGACCCAGGCGGAGGGGGGGGGGCTGGCGCACCATGACCCGAGGCTGAGGGAGGCACGCGCGCGGACGCGGAGGAGGAGGCGGGGGGGGTGGGGCAGGGGGCGTGCTCCAAGAGAGCGAGTGGGCCACGAAGCCTGGGAGGCTTCGTGTCCCAGACCATGTTCCCCACACACGCACACACACAGTCACACACACACACACAGACAGACACACACACACACAGACACACACGCACACACACACACACACACACACACACGCACACACACACACAGACACACAGACACACACACACACACTGACACACATAGACACACACACACACATGGTCCTCACCGACCTCTCAGACGCCCCTAGCATCCCCGCGAACACTCCGCGACTGCGAGGTAAGATCTGCAGCCCTCCCTGCAGGGCCCGCCCTGAGCCTCGGCTCCCGGCCCGCGGCCCCGGCGAGGCAGCACCGGCTGCGCACGGGACAGCGTTTGGTCGGACATGTCCTCCTACACACTGACTCTGGAAGAGAAAAGCTGAAACAGCAAATGATCCAAAATAGCCAAACATCGCCACAAGTAGAGGAACAACAAAAGGACACATACATAAACTGTCGGCGCTCTGCGCGGACTTCTTGCACCTGCGCTGGACCCCCCCTCCCTGGCGCGCGCGCCAGGGGCCGCGCCTTTGGCGCCGCCGGGGGGCCCCAGCACGAGTCCAAGAACTCAGCGCGTAGCGCCAATAGTTTATGTTTATGGCTTTCTCGTCTTCGAACAAAACCACGAAACATCCCCGGACCATGTGTTTGCCTATTCTCGAAGCTTCCCCCTGTAGAGGAACATGCCCGATTTAAGGGTATAGCGGCGCGCAGCGCAGCCCACCAGCATCGGGCCGGTCACCACCTCGGCGCGGAGAGAGGGGGATTGCAGGAAGAGAAGCACGAGGATCAAGAGGAGGGCGAAGAGGAGAGCTAGGACTGAGAATGCTTACAGTAGGAGCTCGACAACAAGGAACCTTCCACACGAAACCCAACCCTGAGACCCCAGGACGTCCATTGATTTTTGGTGGAACGCCACGCTTTCCATAGCAAACCTTCGAATCCCAAGAAACCAAGGGCACCCTGGAGGCAAGCAGGGTGAATCTTGGCTTCACATTATGAGGAGCAGTGGCAAGGAACAGGGCGAGAGAGAGAGAGAGAGACGAGATGGGAAGATGGAGAAGCGAGATGGACACAAGGAGCATGGCGAAACGGGGGTCGGGAGGATGGCGGGGGAGGGAGCGAGATGGGAAGATTGAGGAATGGGTGGGGAGGGAGAGAACAGTAGAGGAAGGATGGAGAACAGGGAGAACGGAGGAAGCGGGAACGAAGAGGGGGGAAGAAGGAGGGAGGGGGAAGGATAAGCTGGGTGCGCGCGTCATCTCTGACACGGCCCCTCCCGCCCATTCTTTCCCACTTCGCTGATCTGTTCTCTATCCGCCGAGGGGTGTCCCGGCGGACCTGGATCCAGAAAATGGCACCTATCGTGCGATGCGCAATCGGAGAGGAGACCTGTGCACATCTGGAGAGGATGAGATTACGATGAGCAGGAGGAAGAGCAGGATAAAAAGGAGAAGGATGTGCGACGGAGGAGGAGGAGAAGGAGAAGGACCAGCAGCAGCAGCAGCAGCGGCGGCAACAGATAGCAACATCAGGGGGGGGGGGGGGCAAGGGGAAAGGAGAGGGCGGCCACGCAAAAGAAGGGCCGCGGATCCAGTCGTGCTGCCGGCGCGGGGGCGAGAGGCGCCCCCCTCGGAACGGCGGGAGCACGATCCCGAGATGAGGCCAGCGCTGCAGCGAACGCCACGAAACAACAACAGAAGCACGCCTCGAATGGACCAACACGTGCGACATGGGACGCACAGAGACACACCGACCCGAACCTGTAGTATGACCATCTTGTCGTATATATCGTTTCCCGGGCGGTGCAGCCAGGCGGCGCCCGCCACAGAGCGCATACTGTTATAGACGTCTCGGTGTGCGCGTCGCCCCTGGGCGGGCGACGCACACGTCGTGTTCGTACGGCGGTGTGACGCCGACGACACGCCAGCTGCCGAAACACCCTGCGCGCGGGAGCCAAAAAACACACGCACACACACACACACACACACACACACACACACACACACGCACACGCACACGCACACGCACACGCACACGCACACGCACACGCACACACACACACACGCACACACACACACACACACACACACACACACACACACACACAAACTGCGCGGGGGGAAAGGTCGCGCCCCCCCCCCCCTGCTCCGCTCCAGGGCAGCCGAGGGGGAGGGGGGACGCCGAGCGGGAGGCCTGCGGAGCGGTTGCGGAGAGGCGAGGGGCGGGAAGGCAGGGGCGTGAGAGGAGGGGGGGGGGCTGTGCGATGGACGAGAGGCTTATAGGAGCGAGGCGGCAACTCCTGGGAGGCCCTTGCCGGAGGGATCGGGGAGGCGCGAGCCCCACCAATCATTGGGGGGCTGCTGCGCCGGATTTGGGCCGCGGATCCAGTGGGCTTCCGCGGGGCTCTAAAAGCTGGAGGAAGCCGGAGGAAGCGGGATGGAGCCCAGATGAGGCCGGCTGTCGGCCCGGGGCAGGGTCAGAGAATCGGACCTCCCAGGGGCCGCCTCCGAGCACGAGGGCGCACCACGGGGGGGGGGGCGGCGGGGGAGGGAGGCGGGCGGATGGCGCAGGGAGGGAGGAGGGAGAGCGCATTTTGCGAGTCATCCAGGGGATGCCAGCGGGGCACCCCACCTCGGCAACGAGCCGCGGGGGCCCCGTGTGCCCTGGTGTCGTTGTCCTGGGCGGTCCGCAGCAAACACTAGCTGCAATGCCCTGTGAAGCGAACCAGCGAAGACCTACCAAAATAAGAAAATGTATTTCCCCCCCCCCCCTCCCCACCTCTCGCGGAGCAACACAAGTATCACTGCGATGGTCCTGCAACCCTTTGAGCAAGCCACAAGAAACTGCAAGACCCATGCAACGACTCTGCAAACCCTGCGCCCTGTAAGCCCCCCCCCACCCCGTACAGCATAACAACTGCGAGATCCTTAGAGCACGGTGGTCTCCGTCCTCCTCCTCCTCCTCCTCCTCCTCCTCCTCCTGAGCCTCCTCCTCCTCCTCCTGAGCCTCCTCCCGTTTCCCTCCCTCCTCTTCCCTCTCTCCTCTATTCACCCCCTCTCCTCCTCCCTCCCCCTCCAGCACTGGCGCAGACCCGCGTGGACCAATAAAAAATCGGGCTCACGCCGTCTGGCTCGGGAAGAAGAGGACGCCGCAGAAGGACCTTTGCCCCCTGACGCTGACGCGGAGCGGCGCGGGATCTCCCGCCCGCGCCCGGGGAGACTGACTTTGAGCTTTGAGTATTCGGCCAGGCAGGCAGGCTGGAAGGGCGCCACCGCCCCGAGGACGGAGGCGCAAGCGGAGCCGGATGTGGGCGACCCGCTTTCAAAATGATTCTTGAGAAGGCCGGTGGCCGGCCCCGCCGCCCCCGAGACTTAAGCCAGGACGAGGAGGAGCAATCGGGTGAGGATACGTCTGAAGGATCTCTGAGAGCCGGCGGCTCCAGAGGATGCCTCGGCCGCCGCGCGGCCTCCTCAGAGCGCTCCGCCGGCACGCTCGGGAACGGCTTTGATCCCCGTCCTGGCCCCGCCCTCCCCCTGCCCCCCCCCTATAGGCCACGTCGCGAGGCGCGCCGGCGCCGCCTGGGAAGTGGGCCTTCCGATAGGCATGCCCAGGCAGCGCCGGTGCGAAGCGTGACGTTACCTGCCCCCTCCGCCCCCCCCGCCTCCCGGATCGATCACGCCCCTGGGCTCGCCAGGGAGGGAGCTGCCTGGAGGGAAAAAAAGGAGCAGACCATGACCAAGAGTGAGCGCGGAAACGTCAGCGTCGATCTTGGTCTTCGGCGATCTGGTCACCGTCGACTTGTGGATCATCCTCGCAAATCGGCGACGGCCAGCACTTGAACGAAGGATTGCAAAAAAACAGGATTGCAAAAAAAACAGGATTGCAAAAACAAAACCAGGATTGCAAAAAACAAAAAAACAAGATTGCAAAAAAATACCGGATTGCAAAAAAAAAACCGTTTTTGTTTTGCAATCCTTCGGGTTTTTGTTGCAATCCTTCGGGTTGTTTTTGCAATCCGGGTTTTTTGTTTTGCAATCCTTCGGGTTTTTTTGCAATCCTTCGGTTTTTGTTGCAATCCTTCGAAAAAAGACCAGGACGAAGACGTGTGTATCGACAAGCTCTCGCGGCACCCTGGTCCTGGTTCTCGCGCCTCTCTTCGAGTGTAGCAGCCAGCCGGGGGCCCTCCCCGCCTGCCCCCGTCCAGATCCCTCTCTCTCTCTCTCTCTCCCCTGAGGTCCGACAGTGCGAACACAAAATCCAAGATCGAACAAAAGCACGCCCGAAACCGTAGACCCGATCTTTCTGCGTCACTTCTTCGAGCCCGATCGATCTGTGAGGGCCCAGGAGCCCGACAAGAAAGGCGAGAACGCCCAGCTCGGAAAAACATTGCGACGCCAGGAACATCGGCGCTGAATCGGCGCTATCTCATCGACTCCCAGACGCGAATCGACGCTCATCGACGCCAACGACGGAATTACGAGGGTGCACAAGGCTCCCATGAATTGCTTAGGTCGGTCATGTCCCCCTACAGGGGAAATCTGCACGAAGAATCGAAAAATACCCAAAAAATACAGCGAACATATTCATAAATGGTCCAAACATAATCCCCAGACTATTGGTTTGCCATTTTTGAATACTCCCCCTGTGGAGGGACAGCCCCGATTTAATGATCTGCTACCGGAGACCTGGTCCGCACGCGTCCTCCGGGCGCGAAGGGCGGGCCCCGACGGGCGACCGAACCGTGGAGGATGGAGCAGAGTTGGGTCGGGCCTGTCCCCCTACAGGGGGATCTTGGACGAAGAATTAACAAACTTTAAAAAATGCTCAAGAGATGCCCCAAAATACTGAAAGATAGTCCCCAGACTCTGTTTCGACTATTTTTGAACATTCCCCCTGTAGAGGGACAGGCCCGACTGCAGAGTAGAGAGCAGAAAATCCACCCCCCTAATAAGCACCCCGACAAGCGAGGCCGTTTAGTAGACGCGTCCAGGGAAGGAACCGAACAGGGCAGGGCCGTTTCGTAAACGCCCGGGGCCGCTTCGTAAACGCGAGTTGTCGGGGTCGGGGTGGTTTTCCCTCCCCTGATTCGGGACCGGCCAAGAGGGGGGTGTCCAAGAGGGAGGGCCAGGGACGGAATGAAATAAGAAGAGGCGCCATGAGACCCGAGGAAAAATCATGCCCCCGCCATGATATCGACCCATCCCTAGTCATCACCCCCCTCTTTTCCGCCCCCGACTGATGGAGGAAACGCGGGACTCGAGCGCCGGCAACGCGCCATGAAATCTGGGGAAAAATCATGCCCCCCGCCATGACATCCACCCCCCCCTAGTCATCACCCCCCTCTTTGCCGCCCCCGACGGATGGAGGAGACGTGGGACTCGAGCGCCGGCAACGCGAGAGCCTCGCCGCTTCCGCGGCGCCGCCCAGAAGCCCGTGCAGGAAGGGGCCCTGGGACACACAAATAAATACACGCAAAGAAAATACTTCCCCATATTTTCCTATGTATTCTGGGTCTTTGTCTTCCCCCCCAGTGCCCATAGTTTCCCATATTTTCTGGGGAATCGAAGATGAATTGTGTCTGCGTGTTTTTCCCCTCCTGAGTGCAAGGGATCGACTCGAGAATCGACTCACACCAGAAGTGATTCTCCCGTCGGGCCCGTGAGGAAAGACCCGCAGAAAAGGCCAGGCGATCTGCGGAGCAGTGCAGGTACGGATCGCAGACTCGACGGGAAGGCAGTGGATGATGCAGTCGAGACCCCTGCTCGATTATCATGCAGTCGAGCCCCCTACTGGAGCCCCCACTCGAAGCGCCCCCCGCGGCGCGCGGCACCGCGGCTGCCCGCCGAGGCCTTCGCGCACGCGCCGACCGCCCGGGGCGCTCCCCCGCTCTCGGAGGGCGGCGGGGAGGCGCCGCGCCGCGCCCCGCCGCCGCGCCCCCTTGCGAAGGGCGCTCAGCTCGTCTTGCTGTCGACCTTCGAGGAGGCAGCTGCTGCGCAAGGAGAGAGGAGAAACAAAAACTGAGAGACGGCATACAGTCGGGGCGTTGACCCAAGGAACCTTAAATGAGGAACGAGGTCCCTTCTTCTCACAAGTTAAACTTCGACTCCCCATGGGAAACCTCAGGAACACCCAAGGCAAACTGTGAAGCAATGGAGGAACACCGAGCCCCTCCCCAACGAAAAAGGTTCCTTCTTCAGCGCCCCGACTGTATAAGCACAAGCGTTTGGCGGTCCGCGCGGATCTGCTGGACCTGCGCTGGACCCCCTCTCCCTGGCGCGCGGAGGGCGCCGCCAGCGCGGGGGGGGCCCCAGCGCGGATCCAAGAAAGCCGAGCGGAGCGCCAAAAGTTTATTTTTGCGTTTGTGGCGTTACCATATCTTTCAGGAAAATAGATACACAAAACACCCTCCGACACATGTTGCGTGTAGAAAGCCGCCGGCTCCCAGCAGGTTGTCTGTGTATGTATTTTGTGGCGGATGAATCCTCTCTGGGGGGTGGCTGCTGCGCCGAGATTTCGGCCGCAGATTAAGTAATACTAAACAGGATCTAATCCGGCTTACTCTGGTTACCAGAGTGAGCAGGATTAGGCGGAATTAAACCAGATTGAACCGGAATTCGGACTTACCCGGCCCTTCCGAAAGGAGTCCATTCGGCGCGACGAATAGACTCCCTCGAGCATCGGGTGTGGGACCTCCTCACACATTGGCCCAAAAAAATATTGAGTCCATCCGGCGCCAAAAAGACTCTCGACATTAGAGCGCATCCAGCGACGAAAAAATCCATCCGGCGTCAAACAGAATCCATCTGGCGAACGGGTAGAGTGGATCCAAAGAGCCAATCAGGCGCCAAATTAGAATCCATCAAAGCCCATCCAGCTTTCAAAATGGCCATCACGGCATCCGAGCCCTTTCGGCGGATAGCCCCCTTGCGCGCGCTACGCGCACGACCCCGCGACCCCTCGACCCGATGACCCCACGAACCCACGACCCCGCGACCCCGCGCCCCCGCGCCCCCATGACCACCCCACGTTCCCACGACCCCACTACCCCGCCACCCCACGACCCCGCGACCCACGACAACACGACCCCAAGACTCCACGATCCCACGGCCTCACTATCCCGCAACCACAAATACCCGCGACCCCGCGACCCCGCCACCCCACCAACCCGCTACCTCACCGCCACGCCACCCCGCCGCCCCGCGACCTCACGACCCCACCACCCCACGACCCCGCAGCCCCACGACCCGATGACCCCGCGACCCTGCAACCCAACGACCCTGTCGCCTTGCCACCCCACCACCGCACGCTCCCACGACCCCACGACCCCGCGACCCCACCACTCCACCTTCCCACGACCCCGCGATCCGATATCCCGCCGCCCCGCCCACACGAACCCGTGACTCAAGGACTGAGCAAACAGCGAAACCCCGGGGATCATTGGGGATATGTAGCGGATCCCCCAGGAAATCTTAAGGACGAAACCTTAAGGACCTTAGAGGATCATTGGGTCCGTAGCGGATCCTCGGGACACTTTTCCCCAGGGAATCCCTGCGCCTCCTAAACGGATCTCAGGAGAAACCTCGGGATCTTTCGGGGTCCTGGCAGATCCCGAGAGGGACCCTGGGGATCTTTAGCGGTTCCCTAGGAAATCCCAGGAATCCTGCGGGATCCTCAGCGCGCCCATCCCCCAAAACAACCTTCAAGGATCCGTAAAGGTCCTTTGCGGGTCCCTAGGGAAGGCCCAAGGATCCTTGAGGATCCTTAACGAATTCTTCGGGAAGACTTAGGGGTCTTTGGGGATCCTTCGCAGATCCCGAAGGAAACCCGAGGGATCATTCCAGATCCTGAGCGGATCCCTGGGGAAACCCTGGCGAGTTGGGGGATCCTTCGCGGCTCCGCAGGGAAACCCAGACCCTCGGGATCTCTCGCGGATCCCGATGGAAACCTGAAGGATCCTTTGGGATCCTGAACGGTTCCTGGGAAAACCCTCGGGGCCCTTGAGGATCCCTGAGATGCTCCCCAGACCGTAAAGGGTTCCTTGGGATCCCAAGGGGATCCCCAAGGAAACCTTTTTGGATCCTGCCGGATCCTGGGCGGATTCCTGGGGAAATAAAGATCCTTGGGGATCCTCAGCGGATCCCTAAAGAAACACCAGGGATCCTTGGGGATCCTTCGCGGATCTCTAGGGAACACACATGAATGCATTACACGTTTTGGATCCCACATGCTACCCTCATGAATATATTGGATACACCTGACATACCAATACAAGCCCAAGGAAACATAGTGACAGTCCGTCCACGGTGAGAGATCTGTAGGAATACGCGAGCACGTCAAGCCTGCACAGGCATCCGAGCGGCGCCGGCACAGGGATGCGTTTTTTTGGGGGGCGGGGGCATAGGGAAAAGACATTGAGACAATCGCAATGGTTTTGTTGGTGAACGCACCCCCGATTTCAAAGAGTTCATTCGGCGAAGCCTTCTCACAAAGCCCACCCAGCGGAATTAGAGACCATCCGGCGAAATAGAGCCCATCCGGCGTGAAGAGAGCCCATCCGGCTGACATTCGAGTCCATGCGGCGCGCCGAGTGGGCTCTCTTCCAAAACAATACCTCGGCGAGAAAACAGAGTCCACCCGGCAAAGGGAGTCCATCCGGCGAAAAGACTCCATCCAACGACGCGACCCAATACACACGGTCTGCGGGGGCTTCTGACCTTAAGTCGGGCATGCCCGCCTACAGGCGGATTCTGGACGAAAAATTAGAAATACCCCAAACATGCTCCTAAATGATCAAAAAAATAGTGGAAAGTCGTCCCCTGGCTATTTTTTTACTATCTTTGAATATTCCTCCTGTAGAGGGACAAGCCCGACTTGAATGCTAACCCAGACCCACTCCGAGCCGTGAGAGAAAAGACACCACGGCGGGAGGCACCTCGCTGCTTTTTCTGCCTCTGGGAGGCCCCCTCACCGGGCCTCGGGACTGTCAACCAAACGACTCGGGATGAGAGACTGGCCCCAGAGGCTGGGGCGGCGTTACGAAAAGAGGGGGAGCAATAATACTGACACCGGAAAGAGATGGCGCAGGGGGTCCGGGAACGGTGCCCCTGGCCCAAGGTGCCCCCGGCTTCAGGTCGGGCATGACCCCCTTACAGGCGGAATCTGGACGAAAATTGTTGAAGAAACAATCGAAGAAATGGTCAAACATGGTCAGCAATAGCCGAAACGTCGTCCCCAGACTATTTTTTGACTATTTCTGAGTACGCCTCCTGTAGAGGGACACGCCCGACTTAACCCCAGCTTTTCGCTCCAGTCTGGAGCCCCCTGGGGGCCCCCTGCTGCGCAGCAGGGGGGGCCTCTGGAGGCCCCGGGGGGCTCCTCGTGCTATGGGGCCCTCTCCAGAGGCCATCGGGGGCCTGGCCGTAGGGGCAAATTTTGATCCCGGGGTACTCCTATCGGGGGCCTGGCCGTAGGGGCAAATTTTGATCCCGGGGTACTCCTAGCCTTCGTGGGCCCTCCTCCTCCTCCTCCCCCTCCTCCTCCCCCTCCCCCTCCTCCTCCTCCACCTCCCCCTCCTCCTCCTCCTCCTCCTCCTCCTCCTCCTCCTCCTCCTCCAAAGCCGTTTTTGCTACCCGTTCCGTTTTGCCGTTCTTGTTACCGGCTCCATTCTGCCGTTGTTGTGCCGATTCCGTCGTCTTGGTTGTCCGGGTTCCTGCTCCGGCTCCAATCCCGGAGCCGTTTTTCGTTGCCGCTTCAAGTCGCCGTTTCTTGCCGTTTCCGTTTCAAAAAACACTGCACGGAATTGGTGAGAAAGCGGCCCTGCCGTTTCCGGGGCCCTCTGAGCTCCTAGCTGCACCCGAACGATCTGAAGGCAAGGTGTGGATCCAGATCCACTGCATCGCGGAACTTCGGGCTCCCTTCCCCGGGCACCTGGGGCGCAGCGGACCTGGGTAAACTTCTGGCCACTATAGAGGCACGACTATGTCCATCCCCATTGCGCCTCGGCCTTGGGGCGGCCCTTCCCGGAAAGGCGTTGGCGGCGGGCGCTCTCTGGTGACATGATCTGGGTGAGGATGTTTGGTAATTCTGTTCGAGCTGTCTGCTCGGCTGGGGCGTGCGCCTCCCAGGGGGGCGCATAGCACTTCAGTCAAGACTCCGGAGCAAGGACGACTGTGGGCTGAGGGGGGGTTCTGGCCTGTGGTCCGCTCCTCAGATCCATATCCCAGGTCAGGAGACCTGCTCGTGGCTGAGGCCTGCCGCCTGCCGTGGCAAGAGGAGCCCCTTCCTTCCTGATGTGGCGTTCCTGGTGTCCTCCGGCCCCCGACTTCGTGATTTTTGCGACGTGGAACCCCAGAGGCCTGGACCCTTTCCGGGGGCAGCTTCTCATCCTGGCCCGTGTTCTGCCCGCCCGAGGGCCCGGCGAGGGACCCCGGAGGCCGAAGACCGTGACGCGCCCCCTGCCGCAGTTCTGGTTCACGGCGCGGGGGGGGCGGGCTCGGGGCCGTTGGGGCAGCGACGGCTCCCCCGCCCGGTCTCCCAGCCCGTTCGAAGCCGCTTCCTGGACCCCTCCCAGGATGGATCGACGGAGGGCGAGCCTGACTAGAACCGGGGCCCCTGGGGCGGGGGGGGCGACTGTGCTCTCGCTGACCGACGTTGCCAGTGCCGTGTGTCCTCCTCAAAGGTGCGCGTCCCACCCGAGCATACAGCATCACCATCCTGTACCACATCGTTTCCCGAGCGGCATGGCCAGAGAGCGCCCGCCAACGGATCACACACGATAAGATCCCTCGCTGCGAGCGACGCCCCGGGGGGGGGCGACGCACACACCGTGTCAGCACGGTGGGGTGACGCCGAGCACCTGCGGTAATCCGAGCAGGAGCCCATACTTCAGGGCCCCATCCTCCTCCTCCTCCTCCTCCTCCTCCTCCTCCTCCTCCTCCTCCTCCTCCTCCTCCTCCTCCTCCTCCTCCTCCTC